GTATCTTTAATAATTTATTAATTTGTGAAATCAATTTTGAAACTACGTTTTAAAATTCAAATTTGGTTTACAAGCGTAAGCATAAGCGCAGCAATGAGGCTCCCATCCTTAGAGCAAGTTTAATAATATAGCCAGCTACTAGCTCCAAATCATGTAGAGCCAATTTAATAGCAAACTCATACAATAGTTGTTTACTATACTATTACTATCTGGTCCCACTTGTCATACACAGCTGGCTACAAATCTGTAGTCCGCTGCTTTTTTCTCTTTTATTTTATCTATTTAAAATATGTTTATACCTGCTCTTATAAGCCCCAGAAAAGCCTTTAATTTGCCATGGTAAATAAATGGTACTAGCATCAAAACCGCAACCTTCCTACAAAACCAAACTGCAGCAAGAAAAAAAAAGAACGCAAAGAAACGGGCTCGCGTCACCGTGGGTCCCAACCATCTGACAACAAAACGAGAGAGCGCCACCTTGCAGGTGGTCCCCACCCCATCCGGGCCTACCTGTCAGCGATGCTTCGATGGTCCTTGGGATGCTTCGGCGGGGGCCCCACCGCGCAACGGCGACGCGGTTAAAGTGAAAAACGTGCCGCACCGACAAACCCACCCGGGTTACCCTGGTTCCGTCGCTGACATGTGGGGCCCACCGGGTGGTAGGCGGGTACGCGTGCAGTGAAGGGAGGTGGGGGCCCAGGAGAAGAGGTGAGAATTGAGACGGAGCGGGTGGCACGTGAGGACCGACACCGGCAGCACGCACGTCACGAGACGGCGGTGGAGTTTAACCACTTAGCCCCCTCCATTTTGTACAAATTTTGTGTTCTCTCGGGTTTTCTTTTTTTCTTTTTGGGACAGCTGCGAGCTTTTCGTTTGTGCGAGGTTTTGAGCCAACCGCCCGGCCGGCCGGCCACCTCCTCGGAATTCGAATTACTACAATACTGCTCCTGAGCTTAGCGAATTTTGTTCGAGCATAATTCGGTGTCATCTAGAGTTTTGAGGGTCCGAACAACAGTTTATTTTCTTGTAATGATTTATGGCCATGTTCGTTTGATCAGATTATAATGTGGTTTCCGTTAGCACACTTTTTAAGCTGCTAAGCGCGTTTTTCACATGTGAAAACTTTCTTTTTATATATAAGTTGCTGTAAAATATCAAATAAATATATTTTATAAGTTTGTAATAATTAAAATTAATTAATTGTACGTTAATAGCTCTCTCGTTTTACAACTAATTATTATTTCCGTGGTAAATGATGTACCCGTCAATAATAAGTCGTTACTTCATTAATTCTAAAAAAATCAATTTTATTGTCTGATGTGCTCAATTTTAATGAGATGTTTTGTACTCACGTGTATATGAACATCTGTGTTTGTGTTGCGTTTCGTAAAGAAAGGAAAGGCAAAACTAACTAGTAACCTATCCAGATTTACTACTCTTTAAATCAATCGGTGATTTTACATTTAGCATGCTTTCCGAACTGCTAACGTATGTTGTGGTTTGTGAAAAATACTTTTTATATAGAAGTGTTTTTTAAAAATAAATCTATTCCAAATTTATGACATTTTTACATTTAATTAATAATATACTAATGAGTTTTTTCGTTTCATGTGTAAATAGTTCTAAAATAATAGTTGTCTTAAAGAAATAGTAGAAGTTGACTAGCAACCTCGTTATCCACTGAACACTACTACGTTTCTTTGTAAAACATCTTTTCAACAAAGCCTTCACAAAGTTGTTTTAGGGTGTATTTAAGAGAAAGGAAAAAAAAGCGAAGATAGAGAAAATACGTAAAATCAATTGAGTCATTGTGTATGATTAATTAAGTATTAATTAATTTAAATTTTAAAAATAGTTGATATGATTTTTTAAATCAACTTTTCAATAGATTTTTTTTTCAAAAAAAATATCGTATAGAAGTTTGGAAAGTTTAGAAGCATGCGTAAAAAAATGAGGAACTTTTCTTCGCCTTATGCTTCAAACGAGCGCATGTATTAGTCTATTTGGTCGGTTAAGTCTCGTACGTACGCTATAGCACAAAACGATTAGGGCCCCTTTGAATCGTAGAAATGAAAAAAATATAGGAATAGAAAAGACAAATAATTCTGACAAGAATGACCGTTTGATTGGATCGTAGGAAAAACACAGGAATCGAATGAAAGAGATAGACTCAAAGGAAATTTTCTAAGAGGTTGAAGCTCTTGCTAAATTTCCTCCAAAATCAATATAGGATTGTCCATTACATAGGATTTTCAAAGGATAAGATAGGATTCAATCATTTGTTTCAAAGGTAATAGGATTTCTTCCTATAGAATTGAAATCATCCAAAATTTCTATGTAATTCCTCTAAATAAGTGGTGTCTTTTAACTCGAAAGAAGTCGAAAGTGGGACCAATGTGTAACTCAGTAAGGGAATCGCAATTGGCAGCATGCACATCAGCACATGATCTTGTAAGTCTCTGCAGATGGCGGGGGCACTCACAAGATCAATCCATTAATTGTTTTCCATCCCAACAGATGAAAATCTATAATGATTAATTCCTATGGCTCATAATTATGTGCCTACAACTATATATGGTGATGAGTTCTTTTTATATCAGTCCATTTTAATAAAGCATCCCATCTTGCTAGTAAATCTAAAAAAAAAGTGAGGGGGCTCCTTCGGAATGCGAAATTATGAAAAGTACATGACTAAAAAAACAAAATTCGATTATACCTCAAATCATATGGATTGAAGAAAATACAAGAAAGTTATAGGAATGATCATTTAAATGCAACGTACAAGAAAACACAGGAATTAGAAAAAAGAGATAGATATAAATACCCCCCCCCCCCCACACACCTCCCCCTCCAAAAAAAGAGAGGTTGGACCTTATGTCAAAATTCCTCTAAATTTTTTATGTTTTGAGCCAATCCAAGAAAATTTTATAGGACTTTTAGCAGCTATTCCTTTGATAAAATAGGACCGTACACCACAAGATTGAATTCCTACAAAATTTCAAAAAGAAAAACCTTTGTTCTAAAGGAGCCTTCAACCTCGTTGTTTATTGCTAAGCATTGAAATAGTTGTGTTGATCGAAATATGATATTTAGCGTCACACATAAATATAAATACGGTACTAGTTTGCATCTTGTTGCTTGCACATGTAACTTATCTAATCACATAAGCATCTGAGCTTATCTTGTCCATGTAGCTCACAAGTGTGTGGTGTTATACTAGCATGGTGTCCAACTTAGCAGTGAAGACCAACATGGCACGTGTTTAATAATATGCGCCCCCCCCCCCTCCTGCCTAAACAGGATGGCAGTGATTTGTTTAAGCAAAATGCAAGATAAATGGTTAAATTATGGTATTATGGTATTGCCTGTGTATCTTACTATTCATTTTAATTTTGAAATGGATGTTGCATTTCTTATCTAAAGAATTGTTGGAGAAGAACAAGCGCAGAACAACTACTTATCGTATTGGACATCGACACATGTATGTTTCTGAGTTACATATTGATAAAAACTATAAAAAGTATAACCATATGTGTTAGAATAGGTGTCGAATATACTAGTCCTATTTGGTTACAGTTGGACTTAGAGTTGTAATAGGTGTTAGGGGGTGGAGTTAGAGTCGGACTCTGTAACCCGGCATCTCTCTTAAATAGAGAGGGGGGCACCACAATGTAACCATGACAACTACAATATAGCGTAGACACGTATGGAGAGGATGGCGGCGATGCCATGGACTCGTAGCGGCTAGGAGCTATATTGGTTGGGGAGGAGCGCCCATAATCAGAGCCCTGGGGATGTAGGCTTCGGCTGAACCTCGTTAACGAATATCGTGTGTTCCTGTGTCGTCATCTGGCATGTCTTGGGTGATCGATGACTGAAGCGATCGGGAAGGTTAGTTGTCGTTCCGCTATATCGACTAATTTTTATAACAATATAAAAGTGTTTTATGACAATATTTACCATTCATTTGATAACGGAGGTAATAGTTCAATGGTTTGAGACAATAATAAAGTGATGGCAAAATTTGCTAAAGGAACTCAAATTCATTATCTTTGCTACAGGACACCTAAAACATATATTTGTTGTAAGACACCATAAAAATACAGTAATTAGTTGCAGGACACCGAATATAATATTTTATTATATTCAGTGCAAACGATGAGAGAAGCATGGAAAATACCAATTTATCCTTATATTCATCGGCTTGGAAGGCGATTGGGTCTAGCGACCATTCTCACTTCCGTGATTCAGTCATTCTCCCTGGTTCAGTCCATTCTCACTCCCTTCATCTAGGTCCAGTTTAAACTAGATCTATACGGGTTAAAATGAAACATTTCTAATGAGCAAACTTGTTTATTTGACACTGGATATAATAAAATAATGTGTCCCGTATCCCGTAGCTAATTAATATGTTTTCACAAGTATTCTCTAACAAAGACATATTGTTTGAGTATCTTGTAGCAAAGATCGTAAACTTTAAATGTAATGTAACAAATTTGTCTAAAAGGATTGAACTTGGGTATGGCTACTCGGATAACCCCACCGTTGAAGAACAAACTAAAACAGTGCTATAAAATTCCAATCTTATATGCAAGTACTAGGACCAAATGACATGGTACATTTGGGGAGATTTGGTTTGCATAGCCTTTGTGACGCCCACCATTCGGATTGCAAAGCAAAGCACCGGTACAGTTTGACCTTTTTTTTTTGCACTACACTACTGCAGCAGCACACTCAACCTGATTACTATAATCGTACTTACTTCCAGCGATTAGCGTCCTCTAATCACCGCAATTAGTTGGCGGGAGGTTTAGTACGAGACGCATTGAGATTTCAGACACCCACCCACCCCTCGACTTTCACATAATTACATCCAGGTCCTCGAGCACGCGACACGGAGGGCCTATCTGTGAATAAGTTGTTCTCGAGGGGGAATGCGGTGAGGAGGTGTCCCGATGAAGAAGGCGAGCTTAGTATAAATCGGCGCGGCGCTCGACGCCCTCCTCCTCAACCTCGATCTCCTCCTCCTCTGCTTCCATTCTCGACTCCACCAAGTGTTTGCTTCCGAGCCCTAGCTGCGTCGAGGCGCGGGAGCAATGGCGGAGGCGGCGGCGAGGAGGTGGGCGGCGGCGCTGGTGCTGCTGGTGCTTCTCACCGGCACCGTCGAGCTCATCGGCGGCGGAGGCGGGAGCGGCGGGCGGCGGCTTCTCGCTGGCCTCCGGTGAGCTCATCCTCTAATGCCTCTCCTGCGTCTCTCTTGGGATGCTCTGATCGTGTGTTCTTGGTTTGATGGAAATTTGTGCTCGTGTTCGTGCTTGCGTCTTGGGAGTTCGAGTTGCTTGATTTTTTTTTTTGCTGTGATTTTTGAGCCCTTTTTGATCCGTCCCGTTCCAGGGCCGGGAGCACGGCGGCGGCGAGCGGCACGCGGCGGTGGCTGCGCGACTCGTCCTGGCCGGCGACGGCGGCGGCCGCGGCGGCGGCGAGGTGAGCTCCTCATGTCCAATTCACCTCTCCTCTCCCGATGGACGCATCTGGACCGTCGGTTCGTCACCCTCGCGTGATCTGGGCCGTTGGCCAACGAAAAGCAGATCCGGGAGGTTGCCGTTGCGGCGGCGGTGGGTTTCTTTTTCCTTTTTTTAACGGAAACATTTTCATTTAATTCCGAAAAGATTCCTCAAAAACTTTTCGGTTTCGCGGTTCGTGAAAATTCGTAAATTTGGGGGGATTCCGGCGCGGTGAAAAATCCGTGAACTCTCGATTCGGGATCAGAGGCGTGCGAGCGTGTGAAATGGGAGATGCTTCCGTTGCGAGTTCGTTACGGTGGCAGAGCTGTCAGGGGCAATATCGTAAATAGATAATCCATCCAATTTCGCCCTAAGGGAGAAATTATTTTATTTTAATTTTTTTTTGGTGTACTCCGGGTTGTCCTGCGGCTGCACCGGCCATGGTCAAGCGGTGAAAAGACTTTGGAAACACACAAAAGCTGCCCAAAAGAAGCGAAGCAAAATCCCTAGCCTACGCTGCTTCGCGTCCCCCGAAACCGCACCCAACAAAAAAGAGAAGATTTACTATACTAGATTGCGTTGGTATTGCTTTTGGGGTGCAGCCTCGAGTGCGCGTAGCCAAACCGCAGGAGTAGGTTACTGTTTGTTTAAACATTTTTACCTTTTGTTTTGGAGACCGACCGACCATGAATGATCCATTGCATTTTTGCATGCTCGAATCATCACCACGGTGCACGGATCCATCCACTCTTCCCACCCACTGCAAAAGTTCTTTTTTTAATTCAAAACAATTCATGCCTTACAAAATGTTGGTACTAGTACTATTTTGGTGGAGTAGGTAATTAAATTCTTGTGCTGATTAAAATCGCAACCTTTTTTAGTTTATCCGTGTTAATTTCATTTTGTACTGCTGCTATCAGCTGCATGTGCATTGCAGTACGTCCATTAGGTTGGTCGATCCCACTCTCACCTGAAAATGAAAATATGAAATGAAATGATTTTGCAGCAGAGGAGATGACGGTGATGGCGATGAGGCGTCGTCGGCGGCGATGACGGTGCCCGGCGCGGTGGACGACCCGGAGGAGGTGGTCTCGCAAGTGCACATGTACGTCCTTTTCCTCCATTCCAGAGACCTTGTTCCCTCTCTCTCATCTAATATCCTAATTAATCGTAAGCTGTTGTTGTTAAGCATTAATTACCGTCATCGTTTGCTTTAGTGTGACTGTCGCTGCAGATTAATTTGCAATTGTCACTGGATCATTGCATAGATCTGCTTGTTTAATTGCAGTAGTGATAGAGTAGCAGCAGTAAGTTAAGTAAGCTACTATCACTAGTAGCATCAGTAATGGCCTTTTTTTTTGTCCGCACTTTTATCGTCCGTCCCACTCACACAGCAGCACAGCCACCGCCGGACAAGCCGGGCCCACCCGCACAGTGACACACACACTCACACCACTGATCTCCGAAACAAAAGGCGAGAAAGAAAAAGTGAAGAAATGGAACCTGACTCTGCTGAGTACTCCTACCTGACCGGAGCATGCAGATCTGATCCGGCGAGACGAAGCCGGTGCAGCAGTGTGCTGTACTTTAGTTCAACCCACTGACATGTGGGCCCCACCTGGCATGGAGGGTGGGAGGACGCTTTATTGCGACGTACTAACTCGGAGGGATATGTGGCCGGAGCGTATTAACTCCGGCCAAGCCGCGGCAACCAAACTCCGGCCCCGTACGGACAAACAAAATGAAGAAAAACCACTAGTCCTCTATAAATTAGGTTTTAACTATTTTAAACTTGAAAAAAAGTAAATTTATCAGATATTTTTTAAATAACTTCTGTTGAAAATGGTTTAGCGGAAAAATAGACTGTTTAACCGTTTTAAAAGCGCGATCGTTATCTTAGCCAGAAAAGAACGAGGCTTCATATGCTCTTCCCACTGGGATAGTGAAGTGGAGTGAGGTGAGTAGCAGTGTATATGTGTGACACACCACGTTCTGTGGCTGCCCACTCATGTGGACCTGTCTCTGCCTACCTCCTGCATTTGCGACGCGCCACCGTGGACGCATTCATGGCGCGCGCACCAGAAAAATTCCCCATCCCCAACCACTAATCAATCCGATGGTTTGTTTCACATTGCAAACATACATACTAGTAGGCTAGTAGCATCTTCATCTAGCTGCTGCTGGTAGAAAGAACCGACTGGTGACTGACATTTGAGGTAGCAGTAGGATTCGTTTGGTGGCAAGAACCGATTCAGCTTATTAGTTGGTAGTCCAGTTTGTTAGTAGTTAGTACTCGCCGACAGGTCAGCTCCACCCAGAAGAGCTTAAAACGAGTGGACATGGATGGAATTCGTTTGTTGAGTTGTGCGCATTGATGATCACACTCTCTGTACTGTGCCTGCATTGAAATCCCAGCTTGTCACTCATGAAACAAGATAACATGCCAGATTGCTTCATTTCGTAATTAAAACTGAAAACTGAACACGATCTTGGTTGATTGATTCATGATGTGATTAAAAGATAATGGAGTTTTTTTTAACAATGGAATTCATCATCAGGTCGATCAGGAACAGCACGGCGAGGAGGAAGCTGGGCTACCTGTCGTGCGGCACCGGCAATCCGATCGACGACTGCTGGAGGTGCGACCCGGACTGGCACAAGAATCGCCAGCGGCTCGCCGACTGCGGCATCGGCTTCGGCCGCAACGCCATCGGCGGCCGCGACGGCAAGATCTACGTGGTCACCGACCCCAGCGACGACGACGCGGTGAACCCCAAGAAGGGCACGCTCCGGTACGCCGTCATCCGCGACGAGCCGCTGTGGATCGTCTTCAAGCGCGACATGGTGATCACGCTCAAGCAGGAGCTGATCATGAACAGCTTCAAGACCATCGACGGCCGTGGCGCCAACGTGCACATCGCCAATGGCGCCTGCATCACCATCCAGTACGTCACCAACGTCATCATCCATGGCCTGCACATCCATGACTGCAGGCCCACCGGCAATGCCATGGTCCGGAGCTCGCCCAGCCACTACGGGTGGCGCACCATGGCCGACGGCGACGCCGTCTCCATCTTCGGCGCCAGCCACATCTGGGTTGACCATTGCTCGCTCTCCAACTGCGCCGACGGCCTCATCGACGCCATCATGGGTTCCACTGCAATCACAGTGTCCAACAACTACTTCACCCACCACAATGAGGTATCCATCTTTCCATGTTTTTGTGCATCCTAGTTGGATCCTTCCATTTCATTTTTCTGTCTTGCAATGATCATTCATCTTTTGTTTTCTACACATGTAACTTATAATCCATTGGAATCACTCACTCACTAGTGTTTTGGCGTATGTGAAGTACTTGTTTGTTTTTATACCAGCAGCACTGTAGTTTAGTCTAACTTTCAGTGGCAAATATTCTTGCAAATCTATCTAATCTAATTAACCTCAAGATTGTCGGTTGGCCTGGCCGTACTGCTGCTGTGTAGTATGTTGCTTTTTGCATCTCACGTGGATTCGTTTGTTGTCATATGAAAGCAGCCTGCTTGGATTTTTCACTGATGATAAACGCATGATGCAGGTGATGCTCCTGGGTCACAGCGATTCCTATGTCAAGGACAAGGCAATGCAGGTCACGATAGCATTCAACCATTTCGGAGAAGGTCTTATTCAGAGAATGCCAAGGTAAAAACTAAAAACTGATGAACTGAACCAAATCTTGTCTTATGTTCCTCAAGACACTTAAAACTCTGCAATTGTACATACATGCTTGTCTGTATTCAGCATTGCATAGGCGAACCTGCAGTTTATTTCTGACAGTTTACTAACTGTTGTCATCAAAAAAATTGCTCTTTATTCAGGTGCAGGCATGGTTACTTCCATGTGGTGAACAATGACTACACCCACTGGGAGATGTACGCAATTGGTGGAAGTGCTGAGCCAACCATCAACAGCCAGGGCAACCGCTACCTTGCTCCGACAAATCCCTTTGCCAAGGAGGTACATTTTGCTTTCTCTGATTGTCTGTCCATCACCAAGTTCCTGGATTCACATTCAGCAACCGTTTCAGTCTCTTAATAACTAACTAGCATTTGGTATGAACAAACTGATGCAGGTTACAAAGAGGGTTGAGACTGCTCAGACCATCTGGAAGGGCTGGAACTGGAGATCAGAGGGGGATCTCCTCCTGAACGGCGCCTTCTTCACCCCATCAGGTGCAGGCGCCTCGGCCAGCTACTCGCGCGCCTCAAGCCTCGGTGCCAAGTCATCATCCATGGTTGGCACCATCACATCCGGTGCGGGCGCCTTGTCGTGCCGCGGGGGCTCAGCCTGCTAGTGCACACCGGAGAAGAGAAAGAGAGAGTTGCGCAACACCGCAATCGCGCCACGACAACACAAAAGAAACACAAGAATTATAGAAGAAGCTAAAAGCTACTACCGGAACATCGCGGGTTACAGCCTTTTCTTTTCTCTCCCCTTCTCCCTCTCTCTCTCTCTTTTTTGCAGCTTTTGACAATGGTTATATATGACCCTCTCCAAGAAGATTCACCATTTCCTCAACCTCCCCCTGCTCCCAACTGTGAACACTGTCAATGGCAGCAGGCGAGAAGCGTTGCTGATTGAGATTTCGTCGTTCGCTCGGTCTCCTATTAGACATCTGAGTGTGTTGAGTGTGTGTATGTTTTGTGTCGGATCGATGATGATGTCTGCCCCCCTGATCATAGCAAGTGTAATGCGAGATCAGGGGGCGCTCGACGTCTCACAATACCTTTGGTTGTCAAAAGGAAGAGTCTACCACAATGTTTTGTTTTGTGCCTTGGGTTGCAGATGTGTTTGCCGTGCGTGGAGTGAGTGCTACTGCTGTAAAAGACGAAAATATGCATAGTTTACCCTCCTTTCCTCTTCTTCACTGAAAGTTAAAGAGCAGGCTTAATATTTATGTTATACTACTCCCACCTGTCAATTTTCAGATGTTCTTTTTATCTCTTCTGCTGTGTCTGAGTTGAAATTATGGAATACCCTGTGCTGTCCTGAATCCTGGTTCTTGCTGCTGCTGTTTCCTGTATCTTCTCTGGTAAATGCTACTGAAACATTCATGAGATGTGTAACCATTGGATGATGCAATTGGTACTTGGAAACAAGTAGTGGATACATGGATGCTCATGGTCCTCTTGGAATAGAATAGATGCTGTAACATGTACCCTCTACAAGCTCAAGAGATGAAGGAAACATGTCCTCTACAAGCTCAAGGTAGGAAGGGCCCGTTTGGGGGAATTTCTGTTACTTGCAGCTTCTCCTAAAATTAGAAACTCTTCCAAACAATCTAACTTTTTATCTAGATTCTGAAAAGCTAGTGAGAATCTGAAGAAGTTGCAGAATCTGAAGAAGTTGCAGAATCTTAAAAAAAATACGTCCCTACTTCTCTAACTTCTTCAGATTCTCACTAGCTAGATTTCTCAGAATCTAAAACTCTCCAAACAGACCCCGAATGCAGTGAGCCAGTGACCATTGCTGCGGTGCAGTGCAGCATCTGGTCCCGGATCAGATCCAAAACGACATCCAGTAGTGCCTTCCTGCCTGCTTCTACTGGTTGTCACCATGCTTGCAAGTTCCATCACTGTAACCATGTCAGAGCCAATCCTTAGGCTGACATTACTACTTACTGTTATTGATCATCACCAGCCATTGATTGTTCTGAGATGAGATGAGATGGGGCCAAGAGACAGGCAGGGTAATGGAACAGCAAAACTGGAAGCTAGCTAGGGATGATTGATGATGTGAATGGAATTGGGGGCAAGTGCTGCTTGGATGCTTGGATGGATGGGGCCTAGCTAGCTAGAGTAAGCTCGAGCAGGGCAGTAATGGCCGCCTCGTGTGCGAGTGAGGCATGCAGCATGGGGTGGCCATGAAAGCGAAGGTGGCGAGCTGTGCTTGTGACTGTCCTCCATTGCTGCTGTCGGTGCACTGAAGTAATTCCTCACCTTCAGTTTTATCACTCGCCAATCGTTCCGCTGCTAAGGCTGTGTTCGGCACCCCTTTTCCCAATCCCTCTCCTTCGATTTCCACACGCACGCTTTTCAAACTGCTAAACAATGTGTTTTTTTTACAAAGTTTCTATACGAAAGTTGCTTAAAAAATCAAATTAATCTTTTTTTTAAAAAAAAAATTAGCTAACACTTAATTAATTACACTCTAATGGATCGCTCCGTTTTTCGTGCGTACTATTTCAGTTGGGAATGAGGAATGACGAACACAGCCTAAGAGCAAGTATAATAGTGAGCCTACTATAAATTTAGGTAGATGAGAGAGGTAGTGAAAAATTAAGGATGTTGACTCTCATGCGAAAGCTAGCTTATCACAAGCTCGAAGACAAATGCATTAAATGTATAAGTGAGAGATAGAGAGATGAGAAGAAAATTGTAGCCAATCATATAGCTAATCGTTTATATATGTTGGTTTTAAGATGGGCTAATAGTAGGAAGTGAGCTCTATTATTATCCTTGCTCTAAGTACTGGAAAACTTTTATATGTGTAAAGTGTACTTTAGCGATATAAAATCAAATACTTGAAAATAAAGTACGATGAAAAATTCTAAAATCAACTTCAAAATTAGGAATTCAAATTTTTTGCTTGGGCTTACAATCGGAAAGAGAGAGAGAGAGAGAGGAAAAGATGTAGTATGTATGCAATGGATCAAAAGAGCAATTTGTGTTTCTTTTTCAATTCTATGTTTGAGGATGAGAACCATCTGAATCTCGATTGGTGTGGTGGGTGGAAGAGATGGTTAGTGGAGGAGTAAAAAAAAATGGACCCTAAGCAAATCTATTTATGTTGAGTATTTGTTAGGAAAGTTCTATTTTTTATCTTTACATTAATGACGGCTCTATCATTGGTTTTTGGGGAAGATCTTGCTTTGGTTTAATTTGATTGGCATTGCGAGAATATTCCACAAATATGTTGAATAATGCTAGGATGTGCAAAAATAGAAAACAAAAAAAGGAAAAATATGGAAAGAAATGCATGACTGGCACCTAATTTAGGCCTCTGGAATTTTGGGCCAGTAGAATTGAGCTGGGCCATTGCTCCCTTTCCTACCATCTGTCAGTTTGTGGTTAGCCATGAAGGTTAAATGCTTATCAAACATTTCAGATAAAAAAGGTTGGAATAAGTTCACTTTGATTCCCTTAAAAATGACCCGAATCTAATATATGACCCTAAACCACAAAACCGGATATCTCGACCCCCGAACAATTGAAACCGGTACAATTTGGCTCCTTTGGTGGTTTTGGAGGACGGTTTCGCTGACGTGACGGTGTTGACCTAGTCTATATGGTTGACGTGGCGCTTAGGTGGTATTTGAATTAAAAATGTATACGTGGGACCCGTTTGTCATTCACCACATGCCATCCTCTCTCTCTCTTTCTTCTTCCTCCCCTCTTCCTACCTCCTCTCCTCTCTCTCCTCTCCCCTTCGGCCAGCCGCGGGGAGCACGGCCGCGGAAGCAGCAGCCTAGCCGAGATGGGGCGAGGACAGGGAACCTCGCCGGCAGCCTAGCTGAGGCCCCGGAAGCAGCCGCAGCCGGCAATGGTGGGTGCGGAGATGAGCCCGCAGCGCACGGCGACCTGGTTCTCCTCCGGTTGATGCTGCCGGAGCCGTACTCCCAAAACCCTCGCCCCATCTCTGCTTTCCACTCCCCACTGACGATGAGATGTACTCCAAAAACCTTCGCCTTGACGTTTTCACTGTGCCTAGATGCTGGGCCTCCGGCGACGATTCCGGCATGTCTAGTGCATGCAGTGGAGACAGGCCAAATCTGGTCAGAAAAATACTTAACTAAGATTTGAAACGGTCCATGCTTTTCTAGTAACACGATTATATTAATTAAGCAAGCTTGGCAGCATATCATTAGCTCAAGTAACCAAGCAACACCAGGCATATAATGGAGTAGTCAAAAGAGATGCTGCAAAGTTTAGAGAATATATATATATGCAAATCCATGGACCTGAAGCTATCGATTGGTAATGTGACCAAAATTCAGAAACTGGTTAGACTGAACTGCAAGCAAAGGCGTCCAGCACAGTGGTGGAGCATGGACTGAACGAGAGAGGTGACGTCCACTGGTTTGGGTTGGGGGAGGTGGCGGACCGGCAGCGCGACGGCGGTGCCGAGGGGTGACCAAGCTTCAGGAGGCTGGCGGCGGCGTACGGCGCACCACAGCGTGCCTTGCCCGAGGCGCCGCGACGGCGCTCGCTCGACGCTCCTGGAATCGATTGGATTGTCGGTCGGTCGATTTGGGCTAAGCCACACCGCGCTCCCGCACTTGGAGGCTGCCGCCGCTCCGGCCCTCTCCCGCTCGCCGCCGCTGCCACTCAAGCACCCATCGTCCTGCCCGCCGCCGCCACGGCCGAAGGGGAAGGGGTAAATAAAAGAGAGAAATAAGGGGGAGAGAGAGGGAGGAGGAAGAAGGGTGAGAGAGGGAGGGGATGACACGTGGGTCCTACATATATTTTTTTAATTCTAATGCCACGTAAGCGTAATGTTGGATGAAGAATAGGTCAACATCATCACGTCAGCGCCACATCAGCAAGACCGCCCTCTAAAACCGCTGAGGGAGTCAAATTGCACTGGTTTCAATAGTTGAGGGAGTCGTCCTATCCGATTTTGTGGTTGAGGGTCATAGATTAAATTCCGGACACTTTTAAGGGAGTCAAAGTGGACTTATTCCAAAAAGGTTCTGGCTAGCAACTCACTCCATATACAAATTTGGCCAGTGAATGAATTTGGCCTGCACTTACCCAACTACGAATTCAGCCCAGTTACGGCTACAAATGAACTTGGCCCACCTATGTCCATCGAACGAATTTGGCCCACTTTATGGCTAAAATGAATTTATTCAGGCCCACCTTTTTCTGACACCAAAATCGGTCTAGAATGAATTCAGCCCATCTAGTTAGTGAACATTTCAGATATAAATCAGGTGTGCTAAGATATCGGCCTAATCAAGAAGACCAGTTCTCTGCCCATTAATTATGGCAGGATTTTGTTCTAAGGTTATCGATTCTTTTTTTTTTAAACATAAGGTTATCGATTCAAACTCAGAACAACTATGAGAGAGGCCGAGAGGGTTTTTTTTTTTAAAAAAGCTTTGGCATCATACTCCCTATAGTAATTTAGAAAAGATTGTCGTTTTGGACTTCTCAAAGCCTGCAAAGACATAACTTTAACCGCTAAATTGTTATGCAAGTTACACACGCATAATATAATGAAAGTGTTGTTTAATTAATTAACAAACTTGGTTACATCAAATTTTTATATGTCCAGAAGACCAGAACCTACATGCTAAACAATAATTATAGGTCACAGTTAGACTCCTAAGGTTTAAAATTAAAAATCCTTTTTAACTCGAGGAAAATAATCAAATTAGTGTTTCAAGCTTTATTCGGGGGCCACTTAATTTGATCCCGATATTCTATTTGGTGCAAGGCAGTCCTCTAAGAGTACCCACAATGGTTATCTATAGGCTCTCTACAAGAGATCCATGTCAGCATATTTTCCTACTTAGAAGGTATTAAATGAAGAGAGAGAGCAAAGCTATCTATTAACTTAGAGATAGTCTATAGAGAAAAATGAGGCAATGTATGAGAGAGCTATAGATACCAATGTGGACATACTATTAAGGTGGTTTACTATTAATCGAGTCTATTGCTGAGATGTACATGTTTTATAGAGAGCACCTTACTTTACCATTGCGGGTGCTCTAAGTTCACCTTTTGATTTAAAATGATCGTTAGACGCTTTTTTTTCCCACATAGCACGAATCTCAGAGCTCATCAGATCCTGTAAAAGTTTACATATTTCTACCAAAAAAAATGTCATAAGTTATTTAGCAGCACCCCGTACCCCAACACAAAAAAAATCACGTATAGACATAAGCATGAATACTCTTATATTTATCAAGTATAC